AAACAAATAAAAGATGTCCATTTTGACGAAATGGTTTTTTTCTGCATCTCTGCTTAAGCCCTGTCTCTTATACACATCTGGTTTGGGGGGGGAAGGTTGGGAGGGAAGGAAAGCCGTCCACGTACACGTGGTGGCGGCGAGGGCTTGGTAGAGGGTAGAGAGAGGGAGGGGCAGTTATCTCCCTCCTCTTCGTGGCCTCTCTAAAGCCTTTCTTTTCTTTTTTCTTTTCTTTTCTTTTTCCTTCATTTTCTGTATTCGTAGATATCATTTTCTCCTGTCCTCTTTCCGTTCGGTTTCGACTCCCTCTTTCCCTCCTCTCTCTCTCTCTCTCTCGAGGAGCAGGGTGGTGGGTGGTGGGTGGTGGGTCAATCTCTGCCTCCAGGTGCCTCCTTCCGGTGGGTGGCGATTTGCATCCCGATCGCACCGCCCCTTTTTAGGAGTGTTCCGCCGATGTAAATATTTGTACAGTCGCGCGAGAGAAAAAGCATGCGTCTCTCCTTCCGTGGGAGTTGGTTGTTGCAGATTGAATCTTGTGGTTTCGCAACATTGAAGAAAATTTATATGCTCTCCGAAATTTCAAAATACAAAAAAAATGCGGACACCTCTCTTTTCTCTCTCTTTTCTCTCTATTTTCTCTCTCTTCTCCCCTTCCTTGCTCCTTTTTCTTGTCCTTGGTTCTATCCTTTTTCTTGTCCTTGGTTCTACTACCACCTCTCCGCCCTTCTTTTGCCCTTTTCCCTCCCTCTTTTGCCTTTTTCTTGACCTTTACCTGTGCTCTCTGTTGTAGTTCTCTCTCTCGGGACCATCTTCTTGTCGCTTTTTTTTTTTTTTTTTCTGTTTCAGCTTGGTCTCTCTCGCCCTCTCTCTCTTTTTTTTTGTGTGTGTTTCGGCTTGGTCTCGCTCTCGCATGTTCGGAGGGTCTCGTCTTGTCTTGTGTTATTTTGTTCTCCTTGTTGGCTTTTTCGCAAATGCTTTCATATAGCTTGTCTTGGTTTCTTCAGAGGAAGAGATGTCGTGTTTGTTGTGTGTGGGTCTATTCCTCCGCTGTGTTGTCGACACAACGCACCCTCATTTTGGCTGTATCTGGCCGGAAGTATAGCATGTATACATTCGTTTTTAGGGTGCGTTATGTTCGGGGGAAGACGGTAGTCGGCATTATCATCTCCTCGGAGAGAGGAGAAAGCCCACTCTACTTCTTGCAAGTGATGTTATTTCTCTCTCGCGGGTGAATACCGAAGCTCGCGCGCGGGCGTGCAAAAAAGAAAGAAAGAGAGAGAGAGAGAGAGAGAGGGGTGTCTCTTTACCTCGCCGCTGCGATGACCGGGGCTAGACCACCAGCCTCTCTTCTGCTCTTCACTGTTGAAGTTGACGTCATCTTTTGACGAATTGGCTGTACGATTTCGCGCTGAACCTGGTGCACGAATTTGCTTTTTGTTTCTTTTTTTTTTATTATTTGTTGTTTTTTCTTTTCGAAGAGTAAAAGCTATATTCTTCTCTCGTCTATGTCGTTTTCTTGGTAGTATGCTTCTCTGTCCTTTTTTTTTTTTTTTTTTTGAAAGTAACCATCCCATTCTTGCCGGAAATCGGGTCCGTCGTCCCTCACATTTATCCCGTTCTTGGTACTACGTCT